GACTAAAAAGAACTAACATACCGATATACTCCCTCTATCCCTTATTAAGTGTCGTCATGGGATGCGTGCTGATTAAACTTTTTAACTTTGACTAGATTTATAGAAAAATATTAGCAACATTTATATCTCCAAATAAATTTATTATAAAAATATATTCAAAAAATCTATCTAACGATACTAATTATGTATTATAAATATTAATATTTTTAATATATATTTAGTCAAAGTTGAGTATGTTTGACTTCTCGAAAAGTGAGAACTACATATAAAAAAAGAAACGTAGGGAGTATCTATCTATGTTTCTATCTATCCCTTATTTAGTGCTGAACCACAAGTTATTGGATTCTTGGGCATTAATTTGTAATAAACATCGATATTTGAACTCTATAAATAGTATTGTGCAGTTGAAGCATGGCATACATAAGGGGATATTTGTTATCCTTTGAAGGAAAACATCATAGCAACACTTGATCTTAGAACCCCCAACACACAACATGAACACAGTAGCCAAAAATGAAAAAGTGCAACTCGTGTCAATCCTTGCTATAGTTTTTATCTTGTTCATTGCACATCAAGCTGCCGGTGATACGGATTGTTACAGAGAGAGAAATTGTTCAGAGGATATGCAAGGATTCCATCACAATTCATGGTGCCTATGTCTCTCCAAATGACTTATGTCGGCAATATGTCAGCCAAGTAGCAGACATGGTTTGTATATGTCACAAACTCACCTCATGGGACGAACTTGTAATAAGCGCGGTTAAGCTTGTTCATCTTGCCTAAGATTGCCACAAGCCGTTGCCTTCTGGAAGCAAATGTGGAAGTAAGTACCTACAGCTATATAAATTTATTTATATATGAATATCCTACACTACTATGTTCATATTAGGTGAGAATTGTACAGGCTATTTTTGTATAGTCTATTACGTAATGTGCACAATATAATATCATTTAAACAGTGTTCCAAGGTTGGACTGTGCCATCGCCATCCCTGAGGACATATCCATGAGGATTCAGGATTGCAGGTGACCCAAGAAATGACAATGTATTCTTAGAGTTTCAAGTATTGTACTTGAGTTATGGAAATTGATCAATAATATTCCTTTGTCCTAAAATGTGGAAGGACTCGTTTATTGTGCACATACAAGGGAGAGGAGGACCAAATTAGGGAATTAGGGTGTTCTAATTCGGTGAGACCATAATTATTATGTACATATAAATCATAGAGTTAAATGCACTAGCGGCCCTTAACTTTAAAAAATGGATTTTTAGGTCCCTAAATTTTGTTAAGTGGTGCACCATAGGTCCATACCAGCCACATAGACGTTTCTTGCTGATGTAGCATGTCAACATGACATGTTTTTTTACATTTAACCTCTCCCCTTCCCTCTTCTCAAACAAATGGGTCCTTAGTTTCCTCTTCTCTCATGCCAACCCCAGAGCATCTGACGCCACAGTTGTCCACAGGCTGCAGTCGTCGTGTGAGAAGAGGGAAGCACGGAGAAGAAAGGATCTATTCATGTCGAAGATGTTCCATAGTCTCAATGTGATTGTGAATGAGCTTAGGAACTTAGGACACAAGTTGATGATGAGGACTTCTCCCACCGGTTGCTTAGGTGCTTGCCTCCCTAGTTTGACACTTGGTCACTATCATTGTGAGGAGGTGGCTTGAAAGGAGTTACCGTCACCCAAGTACTAGATGATGTGGTCACACAAGACAAATACTGTGTGGAAAGGGGAGGAGGAAGACTAGGAGGATGAGAAGAAGAAGAGTATGGCACTTAAAGCCACAACTTCGTCCAAGGGAAAGAGCAAGAAAAGGAATAATCAAGTGATGATGATGATGATGATGATGATGCGAGCTCAAGCTCAAATGATGAGGATAAAGAAATGGCTCTCTTTGTGAGAAGATTTGGCAAGTTCATAAAGAAGAAAGGATATGGTGCTAGAAGAAGATCTACATCCAAGAGAAAGGAAGAAAGAAGATGCTACAAGTGTGGAAGCAAAGATCATCTTATTGCTGATTGTCCACACGATGATGAAAATGACAAGAAAGAGAAGAAGAAAGATGATAACGAAGGCAAGAAGATGACTTTCAAGAAGAAGAAATGTCATGCTTATTGTGTTAAGTGGGATTCCGATGCTTTAAGTGATAGTGATGACGATGATAACGACGATGACAAGAAGATCCGGCATATATAAAGAAGAAAACACTTGCAAACATCACCTAACAAGCCTTCTATCTTTAACACTTCCTCGTCAAAGCTAATTAACGTCTACTCCTTACGTCAAAAAAACTGCAATCCTAGGGTTTGAGTTTTGTACAAAAAAAACGCACATAAAGGAGCACGGGCCTTGTGTCAGGCTGTTAGCTCGTGGGGTCCAATTGAACAAAATCAATACAACTTGACTTTCCCATAAAAAAATCGTCCAGAAGCTCTCTTTGCTCCTCCATTCCACTCGTTTATCTTTTGGAACACTCCCTCGCAGCATTGTTCCCAGCGACGTGTGCTACTGCTGCAAATCTGATAGGTTGACGATCTGTATATAGAGGCATTCGGGTAATTTCACCAGCTACATTGGTACGTGTGCCTAGTCCTACGATTGCAGGGTTTTTTTTTTACGGAGGGAATAGAACCCCTCGATTTATTTATTAGTCAATGTTTAGCCTATTATTTTAAGACGGACCAAAATTTAGTCTGATGATCCGAACGTGACCTCATCTTACCTTAATCGGGATAATTCCCGTACATTTCCCTCTTGAAAACCGGCTAATGACCACGGTTGCGGGTACACAAGTACGCAAATTTCTATCCCGATGGACACGCCAGATACCAGTTGACCTGACACCGGTGGTGCTGGTGCATGGAGCCGGACGATCTCTCCACATGTTTACAGTCCAGACCCTGTCGACTTCTTTTCGTGCGATGCGATGTCCTACAGGACACATCAGCAGAACTCTGGGTCTAAGGACTAGGAGGGCTCCATTGGCGTCTTTTCAGATGAGCAGAGTGGCATGGCACCGAAACGAAACGAGCCGGATGGGACTAGACTGGCTGCGTACAGGAGCACGCCTGTCTGGCCAAAGTGTCCTCGTCTGCTCTGCTCTTGCTCTCCAAAGGCCTACTCCTACTACGGTAGATGTGACCCTTTTCAGCTTGTGTTGCAGTGCTGCTGTCCTTTTCTTTCACAAGTGAACACCCACTGCTGTCTCAACCCTCAACGACAAGCTTCACTGGGGATTTCTATCCCGATTCTCCATGTTTCGCGGGACCCATTTGTTTGTGCATGAATTTAGAGTACCTTCCATTCATAGGCCTGGTTTACTTTGTAAATTTTTTTAACTCGATGAATAATATCACTTTCGTTTTATTTGATAAATATTATCTAATTGTGGATCAACTAGGCTCAAAATATTCATCTCGTGATTTCCAACTAAACTGTGTAATTAGTTATTTTTTTATCTATATTTAATACTCTATGCAAACGGCTAAAAATTAATATAATAAAGAGAGAGTGAAAAAACTTGGGATTTGAATGGCATCTAAACAAGGCCATAAGCAAACAACCGAAAAAAACTTGCTCGGATATCATCATCTAGGCGCAGTTCGCTTGAACTTATCGCTGTTTCAGCAAAATATTAGTATTTTTCTCTTATAATAAATCAGCATCAGCCATTTTTCCAGCCAGCCGAGCAGAGCCCTAGTCTCTAATCTACTACTAGTAATTTGCACACCTATGTCCTTATTAAACTTTTTAATGGTGTCACTTGAGGTCTAAACATCATCAATCAGAATGTATATACACCTGTGTGGTGTGCTAGCAATACCATGTGCGTGAGGCAGATAAAATACACTACGAATTATGAGTTGGAAAATTTGGGTGACATGAACACCATATTGATCCCCAAGTATGATAATCAATATTGTTACAAAGGTTTTGGATCTAATTAAGTGAACTACTTAGCAAGTCACGGAGACCAATAGACGAAGCAAACATGCAAATGCATGATTTGATATCCATGGAGATGGAGATGGAGCCCCCACATTATGAACTCATTAAGAACCGCAACATACAACCCCCATGCCTAGTGTAGTGGGCTTCATCAATCTACTCCCAACTCGAACAAAAGGCGTTCACGACTATTTTCTTCATGCCAGTGAAAAATACTGCACTACCAACCCGGCCCAATGATGGCCAAAGGCCAAAGCCAGCACAACAAAAGGCAACAGAAACTTTTGATGTGAACTTTGTCAACCGTGTGACTGATAAAAGCAGAAGAAAATCTACCACATACTCTGCTTTCGGTTCCACAAAAGAACCGCAACGATCTGCATGCAGACTAGGAGAAGCACACACACTATCACCACTACTATTATCAAGCACCATTTATGTTCATCTGCTTTTGTGTGCCCAGTTACACCGGCTCATACAAAAGTTACCACCTGCAAAAAGGCCATCTGGTCAAGTTTGGTTCGGCCACTGGAATTTGTGACACATCAACATCGTGAAGCACAGCACCAATAGTGTGATTGACGGGGACCGGAAAAAAAGGCACACCATGCTCTGAATGCAGTGAGCAAAATAGTCAAAAGGAGACTGAAAGCCCCTCTGCATGGATTCACCAGAACCAGTAGCCAAACGCAGGTCCAGTAAGATCAGGAACGTGAAAGGCGTTGGAAAAGCTATGCAACCCTTTTTGGACAATGCACTCAACAGAACAATCTGACTTGTATGTAATGTAACACAATGTCATTAGAGAATACAGAAAGTGTCTGGTGGCACCAACAGATGCGATCGGCAATGCACTCTGATGTTACTAACATTGTTCTAAATGTTAAATGCTATTACTCTTATCATGTGAAAGGTTGTGAAAAGAATATGAATCTTATGGAACCATATGACTTGAGGTACCATTAGATTCTACGACAGTTCAATGTGTAGTCTGTTGTATGCAGTATATGCTTACAGTTGATATAGCTGAGCTGGTACTGTAGAGATTAGTGCTCAGGCTCTTGTCGTGGCATTGAACGGCATTCCTTTGAGTACTTTGGCAAGTTGAACTGTGCCCTTTTCTCTGCAAAGTCTGGTGGTCGCTGGTAAACAACTGAAGCAGCATGGATCAGGATGCCAGCCGTCAGACCCCAAATCATGTACTTCTCGTCCCCTTTCGCATAACTGAAGTGATGGATTGTAAATTCCTTCCCCATCCATTCTAGATCATTAGATGCCCGGTTCTCGTCCTGTACCATTCACCACAAATAGATCACAGGATGAATGAATGGCATCGTGCATAATACAAGGTATCACAGCAAATGGAACAGGTTCCTTTGGTCTTTCTAGGAACCAATTACTAATTCAGTATGTCCAGTTATCATAGTTTGCTATTCTGCCAAGTAAGACACGATAGTACATATTATCATATAACATTGTAAATTGCAGCAGTATGGTAGAACATATGGTTAACATGTTTAATCAGTAAACTAATAATTTCTTGGTACATGGCGAAGCCAGCAACAGACTTCAAATTACCAATGTCAAATACAAAAATTATATGATAACTCATACACAGTTTGTAGTTAGGATGGTAAGAACACCAATGTACTAACCTTGAGGAACATCTCCAGGGGTACATCAAAAAATTTGTCCACCTCAGCAGCATTAAGAACAGGCTTAAATGCGTTTATGTCTGAAAGTATGCCAATAATAGGAACAACTACCAGAAGATGCTGCCAAAGACATGCAGAACGGTACTTATAATGATGAATCTTAAGTGTCCCCTCCGACCACAAATATAAGTCGATCTAAAATAACAAGACTATATGTTATGTAACAAATTTTCATGAGGAATCTACAAGCATCTTACATTATCAAACTATGTAACTCTTTATATATAAATGGTTGAAGTTGAAACAATTTGACATCAATCCTAAAAATGACTTCTTACAGTCGAGTATGTAATACTACAACAACTCTACTACTGTTGAATTAAAGTCTAAGTGAGGCATCATAATTTATTAGGGGCATCAATCATCAGCCACATCAAAGACTGGCACCTCAGGATTCAGTAGGAATATGTCATTCCATGAGTCACTGAAATATGGGGTCACATGTCACTGAGACAAGGGATAAATGCATTTTTTGGGGTGGCAAAAATTTTGTATGCGAGTCTTGCACTGAAATGAGAAACCCTAAATCCTGACCTACTTGACTAGACATTACAAATTTGGCAGATGAATTTTAGGAACTTAGCGTCTGTTCTATGAATTTCACATGAACTTCATCATGATGATGATGTGGATATGCACCACTGTAATCTTGAGACTTAAGAGACATTTGACAAGTACTTACATTTTGAAGACCAAATTTATCACATGATCTGAAACAAGGCGATGATAGATAAATGATAAGGCTAACATGTACATAGTGTAATCTAATCATGAACAAGACCATCAAGATTAGGAAGATGACCATGTGTACGAGCACAGCTCCTTAAGAACAAAGACAATATGTACCGTCTTGACAAGCTGGATAGTTTAAACATAGGAATGGCAGCATAATTTGGTTAACATCATGTTACAACATATAATTTCCATATTTCTGATAGGTAAAGAACTTGCTGTGCAATTCATTTAGTAGAGCTTATGATGATAGTCCTAGACACTGGAAGGATAAAAATGTGAGCTCCTATGTGATGGAAAATGATTGCTGTCCTGTTCACAAAAGATTTTTAACATAGTAGCTGTGATCTGCTTATAGAAATTTTCAACAAACCTATAACAAGATCGTGAGTGAAGTTAGTTTAGCTGCACACATGTATTTGGTTCTGACATTTGAACAACAAAAAGAGAAAAACCCTATGCTCCTCCATTGACGTGTTGACAGTTTACCAAATGTGAGAAAATATTCCATAGGGATTTAAGTGAGAAGTGAGAACAGAAGTATACTTTGGACAAGAAATGTTCAAGCGATGTAACAACGGTGACCAGAGCTGGATCAAGCCCAATCTCCTCTTTTGACTCCCTTAATGCTGTTGCTGCATCATCAGCATCGCCCTCCTCGGCCTTTCCACCTGGTAATGCAACTTCCCCTGAAAATTACAGATGGAGAAACCAAATTCAGAAAAAGAAAGGATGGAAAAGTGGTCACCTGTCATGTTCATGACCTCAACAAATATTTACCTACAAGTTTTTCATGGTTTTAAAAGCAAGGGTCCATTTGTGAGCCTGATTTTCCAAACGTAAAAGCGATTGCAAGCCTAATCTGAACAGAGCAAAAATCAAGGTTAGCTGTGGCTGGATTAATGTTGCCTCAACTTTGTTTCATTCATGGAAAACCTGTTAATCACAACGCCTGAAAACCTTGTCCTGGGCGAAATAAAGCCTTGGGGCCCTGGTTGCTTGAAGATACAATTAGTAAGCATCTGCAGCACCTAATTTTAGTATTTAATAGGTCTGTCACTGTTAGACCCGAACATAGGGATACATTGCCATTATTCGTAGCATGTATAAAGGATAGTCAACTCATTAAGTGGTGTGATGATCAGGTTAACTAATACATGAACAAACCACTGGAAAAAAATATATGGCAGTGATTCCATTTCTAATGCATTATCTTGCGACATTTTATGAGAAAACAATCACCCCTATCATTCTGAATTACAAGAAATGATCACGAACACTTTGGAAGTCTTTGAATGCTTTTTTTCTTTTCTTTTCTTTTCTTTTCTTTAAAAAAAAAGAGTAGTCCTTGGATGCTTTTGGAGAAAAGAGCATCATCAAAATCTGAAACAGGAGTACAGGACCTGATCACAAACAGTCCTCACAGATTATAATCTAACTTTCTAACACCATAATGTAGCATAACTGAGCAGCGAATACCACCTAAGCTGGAAGCCTGGAACAGGGGCCAATCATTTGAAACAACAGGAAATTCCTCCTCGGCTATGCTACAATTTTCGGCAGGTAACCAGTCCTAAACCCAAAAATCTCAGAACTAAGCTCCATACCATCGCGTATAGTAACATATCCCCATCAAGGACGCTACTGCTTTTACCAAGATTGGGATCGGTTTCGCGGAGAATTAAGCAAGCGACGAAGAGAGCGAGTTGCTCACCGGAGTGAGTGGAGAGTGAGGAGGAGCGCTTGGTGAGTATGACTCGGAGCTCTCCGGCGGCGCCCCGGAAGAGGCAAACCAGAACGGCGGCCCTCCGCGGCCGGAACAGTTCGCCGGCGCCAGGAGCAGGGGCCACCGCGGCGGAGGGTTCGTACGGGGAGGGGCCCGGGCGGTGGAGCCTCAGGCGGCGTACGAGCGCCTCCATGTCCGCGCCGGGGCCCACCTCCTCTTCCATGGCGGCGGGAGCCGAGATCGGAGAAGCTGGTGCCCGGTGAGACAGGCGGTCGCCGGAGGATTTTGCCCGGTGAGAGCTGCTGCCTGGCGGAGGTCCCCAAGCCAGGGTCCAAAACACGCCAGCACAACCCCGTTGGCTCTGCTCGCTGCACAGCTGAAAAAAAAAACTAGTATATACTGTAGCTATTGCTACCAACAGCCACAGCCCAATAATCTGTCATCATATTGCATAATGGGCCGGAAGTCTCATGTCAAATGTGCTCTCTCTCTTCCATCTGAGCTACTGCTTTTTGCTCAAAAAAAAAAACTGAGGTACTGCTTCCCCTAAAAAAAAACTGAGCTACTGCTAATGTGCACACTTCCGGTTTAGATACTAAATCGATGGAAGCCGTAAACAAACAGTCTGACCTCTTTCTTAATATCTACAGTACATCATGAAGAACCAGTGTGATGGAGACTTGAAAGTGGGCCCCGTTCGGCTGGTCTGAAGTTTGGCTTGTTCAGCTTCTTTTTTCAGCCGGAACAGTGTCTTTCTCTCACAACATTTTCAGCCAGAACAGTGTTTTCAGCCAAGTTTCAGACCAGCGAACGGGGCCACAGCGTCACGCGTCAGAGCCGAAGACAGCCAATAGCACCAGGCATTCAGGTACATGAAAGTTGGTCAGAAACTTCTGATCCTTGTAGAGCAATGGATTCAGTAGAACAATCTGATGTATACATACGAATATACCCAATTGCATCCGAGCAAGTGCTCGATCTCTCACCAATAACATCAACATGGACAATTTGTGGTGCATCATATATGAACATTGTTCTAAACATAAATGCCACTATTGTGTTAAGTAAAAGATTGTGGAAAGAATCTAAATTAAATATGACATCAAGTGATTTGGACTCCTCTTTGATTCTAAACTCTGTTGGTGCAACATCCTGTACTCTAAATAGCATATGCTGTAGTTTTTTTTTTTTTTTTTTGAGAACCATATGCTGTAGTTGAGAGCAGCGTAGGCACTAGTGTTTAGCAGGTCCTGCTAGCATTGAAGAGCAGTCCTTTGTGAGCTTTGGCAATTTGAAATGTGCTCTTCGCTCTGTAAAGTCTGGTGGTCGCTGGTATACAACTGAAGCAGCATGGATCAAGATGCCGGCGGTCAGACCCCAGATTAAGTACTTCTGGATTCCTTTCTCGTAAGTGAAGTAATGAACTGTGAATGCATGGCCCATCTTTTCTCGTTCCTCGGATGTCCTGTTCTCGTCCTGTGCCATTCATAGCAAATTGGCCATGGGATAAATTACCATATTATCCGAAACTACATGACAGATCTTAGCACGGTACGAGTTACTAACCTTGAGGAACATCTCCAGTGGTACATCAAATATTTCGTCTACCTCAGCAATATTAAGAGCAGGTTTAAATGCTTGTCTGTCTAATAGTATGCCAACAACAGGAACAACTACCAGCAGGTGCTGCCAAGGACATGAGATTTTTTTAGTGACGAATCCTGAGATTAAATAGTGATATTACTATAGAACATAAGTTTAGCACTTCAAATAATGTGATTGTACACTTTACTAAAATGCTGGGGAAAAATTACTCTCCCTCCCTATCTATACTGCAACCAAATCCTAAATCTATACTGCAATCAAATCCTAAACAAGACCACCAGAACTAAGAAAATGATCGTAGCATCACCGCTTAAAAGGTAATGACAAAGTGCACCATCTGAATAAGCTTAATAGTTCCAATGTCACAATGGAAGCACAGTTTTGGTCCAAACCATACTACAAAATCAATTTTCTACATTTTAGATAAGTAAAACACTTGATATGCAAGTCATTCAATAGAACTCACGATGGTTATCCAAGATACTGGAAGGATAGAATACAAATTTCTGCTGGATGCAGAATGATTGTTATCCTGAAGTTATAAGAAAAAGGGATGATAATTGAATGTGGCCTGGCAAGAAAGAACAACCTATGTATGATCCTCAAGACATTTATAAGCAAATCCAGAGTAAAATTGATTTGGCTGCACATGCATGTTTGGTTACAAAGTCTGAAAAGCAAAAGGATGATAGTTTTGAACTCTTCCACTGATGCATCATGACTCGGTGGGCAGCGTACCCAATTTGAGAGAATTTTCTGTTGGGATTCAAGAGAGAACAAAAGGCATGCACCTTGGACAAAAAGTGTTCAAGAGAGGCAACCACTGTAACCAGAGCTGGATCAAGCCCAATCTCCTCCTTTGACTCCCTTAATGCTGTTGCTGCATCATCAGCATCACCCTCCTCGACCTTCCCTCCTGGTAATGAAACTTCACCTGAAAATCCCAGATGGAGGGAACGGAGTTAAAAAAAATGCACAAAAGTTGTCCCGCAAACTTAATAAAAAATTGACCTATATTCTGCATGCTTTCGTAGAAAGCTAAGCTCAAATGTAGGGGCTGATTTGAGCTGAGCAAGATCTTTAGGTCAACCAGAAATACATGACAAAGTTCTCTATAGCAACAGATCAGTAAGCTCGCGTTGTTCCTTTGTTGGCCTTTGGTGACTCTTCTTTTTCTTTTATTTCATTTCTATTTCTGTTTTCAACTTCCTTCTACTAAAACTATGATAAGACATTATGTTTCCTCTACTAAAACAAAAAGGCAGGGCACCTGCCATTTGCCCTTAAAAAGAAAGATAAGACAAATTCATTCATGTCTGAGATGAAGGTAGTAGCTTGTGCTCCATTTTGTATTCTTGATTGTCCAATTGTAAAAGATATTGTATTGGAAGCAAAATTTGAGCACAGAAGAAAGCTAGTTTGGCCCATTCATCCTATCACATGCTGCTGTCAATGAACAAGCTTCTCACGAGGGAAAACTTGGCCAAGAGAAGAGATGTCTCAGACCTGGATGCCTATTTTGCAGTGAGGCTGGGAGCATCCATCACCTATTATTGGGGTGTGTTGTGGCATGGAGAGCCTGGGATTCACTAGCTGAACCGACTGGCATTCAGAGTGTAGTAGGCTTTGAATCTATGGCCAAACTTTAGTTGAGTAGTAAAAACCATGCAGTTTTTAATATGTTCAGCTCAGCTATAATGTGGGGATTGTGGGAACTGAGAAATAACATGTGTTTTCAGAGTGGAATGTGGAGGAATATGTCGCAGCTGTGGCGAAAGCTAATACAAATGCTCAAGAATTGGTCTCTGGTCTGCAGATGAGTTGCCTGGACAAGCTTACGTCGTGGGTGTCCAGTTTGCAGGTGATAGGCTCAAGACCAGAGAGGATCAAGCTGGGGAACAGTGCCTGGTCATGGAAACTTGACACTGGGAAATATGATGAGAGCTGGAGGGACCAGGACAAGCTGAAGATGGCCAAGGAGCATGGAATGCTAGAGATGACCACAGGGAGGAGATGCGTGTTGAGATCAAACCTGACCTGAAGGATGACATTGTGAGCTCCAAGCTGCACACCTGAAGTTTAGATTCCTCCAATTTCCCATGTTTCGGTAGCTCATGTTCATTATCCTGGGATGTTTATGTAATCTGAACCTAGTAGCTTTGATCTTGGATTCGGTGTGTATGCTATGTCGAAATTGGGGGTCCCCGAAATTGGAGCCATGGGAGCTCTGAGAGCAATGTATTGAACTCAAAACTATTTGCCATGTTGCTTAATGCATATGGACAGCGGTTGTTGTGCCCTGCAACTCTAAAAAAAAAAGTTCACGCGTAGTACAACATTTGCCAATTCTTTAGTTTATGTTCTTTACCGAAATTCACAGAGCCACATAACTGAAACGGTAACTCAGCTAAGAACATGAAAACGAGAAGCAAACCACCCAACTTCCCAACCCGTCGCGTGCATTGGCACATTTCCGCCTAACAGCAGGCCAAGCGCACCCAAAAGAATCCACGCCAAGGCCAAAATAATAAATAATAATCAACTGCTCACCGGAGTGGGTGGAGAGGGAGGACGAACGCTTGGTGAGGATGACGCGGAGCTCGCCGCCGTCGCCCCGGAAGAGGCAGACGAGCACGGCGGCCCTCCGCGGCCGGAACAGCTCGCCATCGCCGGCGGTGGCGGGGACGGCGGCCGCGGCCGGCTCGGGATCGTAGGGGGAGGGGGCCGGCCGGTGGAGCCTCAGGCGTCGTACGAGCGCGTCCATTTCCGCGCCGGAGCTGCAGTCCTCCCCCGCCATGGCCGAGATCGGAGGGAGTTGGTGAAAGTGGAGGAGGGGGTTTGGTTTGCACAATGGCGGTCACCACCTTCTCGTTGGACTTCGGTGTCCGTGTAACAGTCCGTATTAAATAGTGTAGGATTCGAAAAAATATTTTTTCCGTGTTTGAAAACACATGACTTTGATGGCTACATTTGTCCCATTTAAGTTGGATAGGTTTGGCTACCTTTCTAACTTGTGTGAAACTCTACCATGCACATATTTCTCATAGTTTAAACTTACTAGTACGATTTTTCAAATTTTTAGTTTAAACTCTTCTAATTTTGTCTATGTTTTTAGAAAAAATATATTATACCTACAAGTTCAAATAAATATACTATTAACACATTTTTATAGAGTGCACTTTTTGAAAAACTTGATCAATTTTTTTTTTAAATAACTTAGAACAAAGAAAGTGAACAGTAATTTAGAATCGTGGAAGCATTTCTAGATGCAAAGGATTATACACAAGCATGTCACTATGCGAATGTGCACTCTGATAAAAGATCGAAACTAGCAAATCTTGAGAAAATTTAACAAGTCATTATAGGCTTCATGAATGCATGACTTACCATAAGGTCTCGTTTGTACAATTTGCTTTATTAGCGCAGCAGTGTTTTTAAGCTTTGGCTCCACGAGCAACTCCACTAATGGGAGCTAAAATTATTTTGATGTAACGTTAGGTAAAACGGCTTTTCATCATAGTATATGAAAAATAATGAAATGTCAATATTACTTTTATCTTTTTCTTTCTTTCTTTCTTCTCTTTTCTTCCTTTTTTCTTTCCTCCCCTATTCCTAATTTCTTCCCCTCATCTCTCCTTGTTCACTTGCCTCCTCCCTGCCCGCATTGCATCCGCTCAGCCCCGCCCTGCCCGCGCCACCTCTGCCTTTGACTCACACGAAGGAGCCAGCCCCCCGCACCCGCATGGAGGAGCCCCCCATTTACACGTGCTTTGCTTCGATTGCCGCCTACTATTTTAGTTCCCCTCCGTCCCACCTCACACGGAGGAGCTCGTCGTCTGCCTTGTGCCTTGCTCCAACCACCGTCTATTGCGCCTTTGGAGGAGCTCGCCAACCACCCTACACCCTACTTCGACCATCGTCTGCTGCGCTTTGATCGTTGTTCGCCTTGTACCCGCACGGAGGAGGGGCAATTTGGGAAGGGCCCATGCACACGAGTGGAAGAGCTAGAGGAAGCCACTTTTTTTGCTCCCGCAATCAATCCCGACTCCGGAGATAGCGTTTTCCAAGTGAGGTGGAGCAGAGCACGGCGGAGAATCCCGTTTGGCTCGTGGAGCCGGAGCTACTCCAAGAGTGCTAACAAAAGAGCCACATGATATTGAACATGGTGCTTATCTCTAGTGGACAGAAGGTACAACCGAAGGCACGAACCATTCAAATACTCCGCTTAAGACCTTGTTTGATGCATATGTATTCACTTCAATCCACATGTGTTGAAGTGGGTTGGAATGAAACTTAGTTTAATTTCACTTCAACGCACGTGGATTAAAATGAAACGAATCACGTCCTGAAACTTCGAAATTTGCCAATGCAAAACTTTGTTGAAAAACAACATTCAATTGAATTGTTGTGAGAGAAAAAACACATTAATATTTGAAAAAAGAAGCCGAACAAGCCATTTTTAAGACAAGCGAACGGGGCCTACATGTGCATCAAACAAGGCCTAAAGGCATTTTGTGTTATATAGATGCATATACACTAAGATAATTTTTTAGGAATTTGCCTCGTAGTGCAAGTGCATATACATATGAATTTTGTTGTTTTTGTATGAACTTATACAAAATGATTTTGCGTCTCAACTTTCGTGATAATGTACATCTACAGATGCTATGGATGTGCATCGTTTTATAAGTCTCAAGTATGTTCTTACGGGGTTTTAAAAAAACAGCTTCGCAGACTATTTCGCCAGTGTCATATAATTGGTAGTGAGCAAAAGACGAAGGCTTACTACTTTCTTGATGCTTTTTGTCACTAGAGCACCCAGTGATACTTCTTGCTACTTTGGTCATATAAATAAATGACATCGCTTCATGCATCGCTATAGGATTCAAAGCATTGTCAGAGTGCAGAAAATTCTCCAATATCTAATCTGATCCGATGTGAGGAAGTAAAGGAGATGCCTCCATCGAGATGGCGAGAAAGAAGCTTACCATGATGCACGCATGCATGTCTCCTTTCCCCAAGATTCCAAGTAAAATGTCATCAGGCAATTATTTGCTGAACATATCCCCATCCTCCTTCCTCCATGTGGTCTTGGACGTTATTTGGCTCCATGAATACCGGCCGGACCTTCAACGCCTCTGAACCTTGCAAAAAAGCCCTGTTCACCGCTGAAGCGAACTCCCAAGGCAAATATGCGAAGACATCTACTAGAGTCTGCGTTTGTGAGTCTCCAGGCAACTTATTTTTTCGGAATATATGTCCCCGTGTCCACGAAAATAAGAACCAAATCTTTGAAATCCCCTCCGACACAAAGGAAGAGATGAAATCAAAGCCCGCTTCAATTCAGCCCAACTCCAGAGTCCAGATCCGTGCAAGGTGCAACTACCTTTCGGTGCCACAAAAAAGAATAAAATCAGCCAATTAGGAATCATTCCTGCCAAGTGTAAGGTTCAGTTTGACATAGCTTCTAGTGACTTGGGTTCCTCATGGCGTGTACAATAGAGCACTCGCTATAACAAAAGCTATTTCTTTCTCTCGTTCCCAAAGAATTATTAGGAGCCAGTGAAGCCATCAATTGTTTTAGCTTCGCTCTTGCCGGCTCCTCCTTCCATCATAGTAGGAGTAGACTGTAGATGCTCCAAAGAGCTCCAAAAAAACTTAACCCACAACCACAAGTATAAAATCAATTTGAGAACACATACGTACATAACATGCCGCATTTTGGTCTATAGAGGCTAGATATTTCCACGTTGACTGGACAAAAATACAATTTAGAGTTTCTTTCTAGATTAATTAATAGTTTCAGTGTCATCATCGTAGGAACTAATGAAGAATTTTAGGTTGATCAGTATTCTCTATAGCCTATTTGTCAGGTACTCAGGTACGTAGCTCATTGTGGACATGTCAGGTACCTCATTAGCTGTGCTTTCCTGGAGAATAGTCGTAGCAGCAGGACAAGTACACGCTAGGACAATGTAGCTTCGGCGTGCCTGCATGCCCCTAATTTCCAAGGACATGTTTACAAGGTCAAGCCACTAATGATGCTGACTAAAGAAGTTCTTCAGAAGAGTCTTCAATTCTGAGGATTGCCATGAGGATCTTCAAACTACTACCTCCGTCGACAAAAGGACGCAATTCCCACTTTTCAAGGAGTCAAAAGATTTGAAGTTTGACCAAAGTTATATAACAAAGTACTAAAATTTATGATACAAAATAAGTACCATTAAATTAATTATGAAATATATTTTCGTAGTAAACCTTGTTGGAGACATAAATGTTAATATTTTTCACTATAAACTTGTTCAAATTCAAAGTTGTGCTAATTTGAATTGCACAAGTTACATGTTTTGTGGATGAGGGAGTACTGGACAACAGATTCTGGGTTAATGCAGTCATGCTAATTTTGTGTCCTCAGCAAGGCAAGCATCTCCGGGAGCCGCCAGGCTCCACGGTGCCATATGTACAGGGAATTTAGGCTTTGCAATAAGGGGCCAACAAAGGCCAGCCAATATCAGCTCACAGCAAGAGCTTGAGAGGTGTGGATCATGCACGTATATGCAGAGAATGGTCCGAGGTTTGCACTCTCCAGGCATCAGGGTCATCCTAGAGTTCAAATTAAGTATGAGTAGGCAATGTCTGGGTACCTAACTCAAATTCCAGCACCCTGCTCATTTTTCTGTTGGTTCTTCATAAGATTTAACAATCTATTTTGATTGGTAAGCTCCTTGAGCAGGGGGAAGTGACAGGGTTCAGCTATTTCTTTAGCCTTTAGGAAAGAGATAGTATCTCCTTATTTTAATCTCTAGGACTTGAACATTTTGAATTCTACGGAGAAACTGTGAGACTATTAATTTTGGTACCTCATTTACTTGGGCCTTGTTTGGACCCATAGAACTAATAGTTAGCTGCTAATAATTAGCTCCTTTGGATACAAACAGGTCCAGCTAATAGTCTAGCTCATTGTTAGCTGAATACTCAACTAACAATTATATCACTAGTTGGGCCAAATTAGCTAATATTAGCTATGAGCTATTAGCTAGCTAGCTAGCTAGCTATTAGTAAGCTAATGGATTCAAACAGGGCCTTAGTCATATCAACCTTATTTGTTGTCACTAAAGGGACCATATACTCTTTCCTTAAGTATAATTCACTTGTTATCCAAAGATCAACATCCAGTCAATCTATATGGAATTATGTAAAGTTCAAGCGACATGTAAGGAATTGTGGTTTTTTAAGTTAGAAAAGATGTGCTTATGAAGATATATATGCCAAGTATAGCATTCTGCATTGCACACTGTCTTCATATTCAGCCATGCCAATTCACAACATTTTGTTTCCATGGCATGAGCACTTCATATTCATTGTGCTAGCTCTACAGCTTCGTAGGATTATTCATTTCATAGGACTCCTATATCAAACTGTTTTTTTCCAGGCCTGGATTTGTTGAATTTGACATGTTGAGTGAATGAGTGTTATCCCCATAGCCATAGTTTTACTACTATACGTATTTACCACTGAAATGCCTAACCTTTAAAAACTCAGCAGTGAAGCCAACAAAATTTAAATCCAAGTTCATTGCACCCTATGATATCAGAAAGAAAAGAAGCCAACAAAATCAAACAGCTGAGGACAAGGGATACAGTGCCTTTGTTCCAAGGTAGAGTTGAGGCAGAATCATCATGCTACTGTTCTTGCTCCATAAGCTTCAAGTACTTGAGGAATATCTTCGTGGTATCTATCGACGTACTTTTCCTTGAACTTCTTTTCCGACATTGTCAGATGGCTCATCCTGATGCCATTCTTGATGACACCCCTGGACACCAGTATGTCAAGCACCCTGTACCTCGGCAATACCCGCTTCTCGTGGCTGAAGGAAAGAATAGTCGGGCTCGATGACAAATAATCAGGGTCCCAGCCAAGCTTTTCCGCAATGAACTGCATGCATTTCTTGACCTTGTCCTCGGACACCGTCATGCAGTAGGGGTGCCTGACAAATGCCCGCCTGACCTGCTCCTCGGTCCACCCCAGGCTGACGTAATTCTGCACCCTGCGGTCCCATTTGGTCTGGTACATTTTGGCGAACACCCCAAAGGCGTATGGGAAGATGCCGGAGTCTGGGCTCACCCCGAGGTCTTTCATGGCAGCCAAGCCCTCATCAAAGCGGGTGGACCTGTGCACAAGCGCCTTGGGGTGGGTGGTGACGAGCTTGACGAGGACCTCCTCCGTGACGCCGTGGTCGCGGAGCACCTGGAGCTTGGGGAGCAGGACGATCTCGAGGTTGTCGTAGATGAGCTCCATGGACTGCTTGACGGCAGCCAGCACGTTCTCTTCGGTGCCGAGTAGGTTCCTGAGGAGGCTGAGGTTGGGGCGGAGGCGGGTATCGAGCCCCGCGGTGAGGAAGCGGTTGGGGCTCGCGAGGAGGAAGCGGCGCAACTCGGCGGGGGAGAGGCCGAACTCGCGGAGGTAGAAGTTCAACTTAGCGCCGAGTGTGAGCGAGGAGAGGACCGCAGGGTACGCGGAGACGAGACGCGCGACGGAGGCGGGGGGCAGGCCGAGCGTGTCACGGAGGAGCGCGAGCACGGCGCGCGCGTTCTTGGTGGAGCGGAGGTGCACGCGCTCGGCCGCCCTCGCAGCGTCCGCATCTTCGAGGCCACAGGAGTGGCGGAGGAAGTGGACCGTGAGGGAATCCCGGTCGCTTCCTCCGGTGCCACGCTCCGCGGAGGCGGCGGCGAGGGCAGATGGGGCGCAGGAGATCGGGGCCGCGCCGCATACAAGCTGTTCGACGAAATGCCGGAAAGGCGCAGTGGCGCCGGCAGCTGGCCCGCCCTCGAACGAACCGCGGCCGAGGAGCCGGCGGAAGAAGGACCCGGCCTCGGGGAGGCTGCGGCGGAGCATCTGGTAGCGGCGAGGAGGAGGAGGGGAAGATTGCGCGGTTCTGTGCTCAGCCCCTCGCTCCGGCGGCGCGAGTTGGAGTCGTGGGTGGGTGGGAAGTGGGATTTTGGACGGGGGTGCGGCACGGTAGGGGACGGAGAGGCAAATCATTCGAAAATACTGGCTACTGGGCCTGGGCTAGTTGGCTTTCCTAGCCCAGCATCCTACGGAGAAGGCCCAAAGGAATTGCCTTTTTTTTTTCCGTTTTTTAACGGAACTAATAAGGTCGGACGAAAAACTCGAAGCTCGTTAACTCGCTTCGGCTCGTGGTGGCTCGAAGCTCGGCTCGGCTCGTTATGCGAGCCGAAAATTAGCTCGTTAGCTCCATTTTTAACGGAACTAAACGAGCCAAGCTTCAAGGAAAAAAGTATCAAAACTTGTGGTATTACTTGTGTCTTGCACTTTACAATTGACTGGTAACTGGTCTAGACCCTATAAATTGACTGGTAACTGGTCTAGATGCATTTCTTTTGTATTATTATTATTCTCAAACTTTAGAAAAATGCAAATATTATATTTGTTAGTATTTTCCAGCCTTGTCGGCTCATGAGCTTAACGAGTTGACTCGAGCTTTTTTTAACGCTTCTCGCAGTGGCTTTCTAGCTCGTTAGAATAACGAGCCGAAGCCGAGCTAGCTCGTTATCTAACGACGAGCCTCGAGCCGAGCCCAAACGAGCCGAGGCCCAACGAGCCGAGGCTGGTTATCCAAATTTCTTAGGAACTAATAATGGTTGATTCTGCTCCCTCGGTTAGAGTTCTTCGCCATTGCTGCTCCCGCCTTGTCTCGGTCTCATTGGTTGGGATCGGAAGATGTCTCTTCCTCAGGCCGACGGGTCTCTGCCCAGTTCGTTTAGTGATCTTCAGGTGTCTTGGGATCAAGATCCCGTCTGTAGTGGCTTCAAAATTTGAGTTGGCCTGTGGTGGCCTTACCTCGTCGGTTCCTTTGGAGATTGTTGCTCCGGTCTCATCGATTCTCCATGGCTTTGGCACCGAGAAGATGAGCAGGGGAGACCATGTCCAGGACTTGTGTTCGTTTTATTGTAATTCCATACTTCATCAGGGTCCTGTTTGTAACTTGGGTGTACTGTGTTAGATGTAATGTAATCCAATCCACCCTTTTCTCATAAAAAAAAAAGATTACTGAAATGCACATTATACTGAAAATATCAACAATCCACTTCCTTTGCCGTCTCCGCCTCTCCGGTCTACCCCCAACGCGAGACGCGAGATGACGCGCGGCCGCCGCCACCGCCGCCCTATCGTGCCGGCGACTTTACCAGACGACGACGACATCCTCTCCGAGATCCTCCTCCGCCTCTGCGCTGCCCTCCTCGCCCCCAGCGCCGCCTCGTCAAAGCCTGGCTGGCGCGCCACCGTGCCACGGATCCCCACTTCCGCCGCCGCCTCCGCTCCCGCCACCCGAATCCCCCCTTGTCGGCTTCTTCAATGAATTTGTAGACTTCCCTTTCTTCAGATCCGTAATGGAACCTCCGGATCTCATCCCACCCAAGCGCTTCTGTCCGCCGATGAGAAAATGAGAATTTTGCCATCCTCATAAATGGGCTTCGCTACTTTGCCATCGTGCAAATGAGATTCGTTGTTTTGCCATTATGAAACACGGACATCACGCTAAAATGACATTCAGTGCTGCTGTCCAGTTTATATTCCAAAATTACCCCTGCCTTCCTCTCACTATGTTTGCACGCGAGGCCGCAGCCATGGTTCCTATTCGGTGGCGCAGCAAGCTCCTCGCCAGCGCCGCCCGTACACCATCGACGCCCACAGCCCACACCTGAGCTCTCCGACACATGCCCCCACGTTGTCGGTGTCACGACTCCCCCCCCCCCCATCGCCGCCGCCCCCACCGTCGACCACGCCGCGCCCCATGGCAACAATACGAAGCACGTATCGTACAATTTTCTCAAGCAAATTAGAAATAGAATGTAGGATATATGTACCTCATGCCTTAGCCACTAGACAATCCTGGTGCACGAATGAAATAATTTACAATCACGAGTTATAGCCGGTAGGAACAAGATTTCTAAAACCACTACTTCTGGGGGATCTTCACGTCCAGGTTGCGCATCAGCTTCAACCACATGTTAGCCATCACCCTCGATGACATGCTCCACAGCACTTCATGCGCCATTGTCGTGAGCCGCTGCTTCTCGCCATCCGACATGTTGCGCCGGCTTGCTATGCTTCCGAGCAAACTAAGGAGGAGGACCAAGAACCGGTTGGCTGTAGAGCTCGACGCCTCCGTCCTCCATGGAGTGCTAGCTTGAAGACGGGCTCCTTCACGAGAAGGCTCAAGTCCACGGCATTCCGGCCCAAGTCGAGCACCGGTGCCTCCACGATGACCGCAGATACGAGGAACAGCCGCGACCAGGAGCCCCGAGCCCACACGGCTTGCCGGAGCTGCACGTGTTCGACCCAAAGGCCCCCAAAAGCGCCGCGCCAACAGATCGGAAGCCCGCGCCCGATGACTCGCTCGGTGGCGCGCGCCAGTGCTCGGAAGCGGCGGCGGCGCCGGCCCCTCTCGATGATGACTGCCGTTGCTCCTTGCTTCCAGCAACGCGCCGACGCCGACACACGCCTCCAGACACGCTTTCGCTGCCCTCAAGACGAAGTAAAGCGACCATGATCAGCGGTCCTGGTCGCGATCTTTCTTCAATTGGAGTAGAGGAGTGCTCGGCATGAAGGTCACCGCGGCGGCGGAAGTGGCGGGGGAAGCACCTGGGCGAGGCGGACTCGTGCACCGTCGGAGGTGGTGAGTGCTGCAACAAGACGCAACCCGGGTGCGGTGCCGCGCGGCGAGGTGCTCCGCGACGGGTCCGATCGAGAGACGGCATTCTGTGGTCACAGGGCGATGGGCTACTCGGCTCGGACGGAGAAGGAAAGGAGGAAGGAGCTTGCTGCGCCACCGAACGGCAGCCATGGCTGCGGCGGGCGTCCAACGGCATAGCAAGATGAAGGCAAGGTAGCTTTGGAATAAAATCTGGATAGCAGCACTGAATAGCATTCTCGCGTATGTCCGCATTTCGTAACGGCAAAGCAGCGAATCCTATTTATAGGATGTTAAAGTAGCGAAACCTAAACCTAAGTGTAAGGCAAAATTCCCATTTTCTCTCAGCCGATCGGCGATGAGAAGGGCGGGTGTGACCCTAACCATTGGAGAAACTTCGGATGTCGCCACGGCCGCGTGCTCCTATACAGCCTGAAGGAGAAGGAGATGGTTGTGTGGGATCCCCCAACAGGCGACCACCGCTGGGTTGCCGTTCCGCCGGAGTTGGATAACGGAGAGCGGATGATCTGGAACGGCGCGGTACTCTGCGCTGCTGCCAGCGACCACAGCCACGTCCACGGCGGCTTCTGCTCCTGCCCCTTCAAGGTTGCCATGGTTGGTGTCACCCGCAATCACACACAGGTGTTTACCTGCATTTACTCATCACAAACAGGCAAATGGAGCAATCTCGTCTCAGCAGCTGTTCCGTTTGTGGTTTATTATGTTGGTCGTCCCGGCGTCCTGGTTGGCAATGCCTTGTATTGGATGCCTCTTGGTCATGGCTATGGCATTGCTGAGTTTGATTTGGACACACATACTCTAGCGTTGGTTGAATGTCCTTCTGGTGCAGAAGTTTCGAAGGGCGGTTGTCGAATCTTGCTAGCACAAAATGGCGTTCTGTGCCTGGCCATTCTGTCAGGTCACAGGCTCCAAATGTGGGAGAGGAAGGTTTGTTCCGAAGGTGTTGCTAGCTGGGTGCTGAGGAAGTCTGATAAGCTGCAGAAGGAAGATTCTTGGGCAGAGTTCTAGTAAGGATATACTTGGTTATGCTGATGATATCAATGTGATGTCACTATGGATTGATGGCAGTTGCTGCTTTCTACAACTCAACTCCCTGCAGTTCACAAAACTTTGGAAAACAAATATCATCTCCAATAGTCATCCCTATGCAAGTATCTATGATTCAGGTAACTGCTTGTCTATATTTCTTTAAAATAAAAAGAATCCAAATTGTTCACAGTACTTGGTTGCCGAAGTACCTCTACGGTTTCTACCTTGCTACTGAAATTCTGGGCTAACAAATTAAACCCAGTTGTCATGTTTCTTTTCTCTTTTAATGTATACTATGAGCTTACCACTGTGTCACTATTAATTTTATCATTGTGCCATCGCTATATTCACCAATGGCGGGCCGTTTCTAATGTTATGTGGGGAAAATTCGATTAATTTATCATATGCATAGCAGTAAACAATGGGAGCATGATCATTGGCAAGTTTACTCAATGGTTAGTTGAAAAGTCTCTTTTTTTTACGTATGTACACAGATTCATATATATATAGCTATGTTACATATCTTTCCAGCATTTAAATGTGTAATGTATTAATATAGATGTAAAATAAGCATTATAGAAAATAAATTTTTTGACTCGAATCCTAATGTATGAAATGAGTAATTTGATGACACATTTCGAAGAGTACTGTTATTTTTTTCATTTAAAATATTCCTACATGTCTTTGTAGATAATCTTTACCATATTGATCTTGCTATAGACCTCTTTCTTTAAGAAAAATAGCATTCTATCAAGGAGTTATGGAGTCATGCTGTAAGTGATGATATATGTGAGGGATTTTAAAGCATTTAATGTATATCTAAACTAGGTAAATGCCCGTGCGTTGCAACAGAAAAAGAAACAATACCACGACAATGAACGTGTGTTGTACCCAAAAAATGAAATGATACTTATTTCACAACATCATTATTACACGAGTCTTCTTAAAGGATGAACAATTATAATATAATTCAATTTTTCATATGAAATCAAAACAATATAGTTAATAACATAAGAACCATGTTCAGAACTGGTCCATAGAAGACATGGGTGTTACAGAGTACAACCACTTGTTATTAAGTGGCTCTTTGTCACACTTTAGCTTTGACAGAGCTAGTCGCCGATGTTGCCTGAAAGACAACGGTGTTAGTAAAAACTATCTCTCACCAACTGGTAAGAAACACACAAGGAAAACATGAACAATAATAGATAGAGTACTGAAAGAAAGGTTGCTACTACTTCCCATGCACTACGGTTTCCCATTCATTCAATTGATACATATCTTCTAGTTCTTATACAGTAGACACGGTGAGTTTTCAAAACATGTATGGCTCCGTTCGCGTGCCCTTAAATCCGGCTTGATCCGCTTCTTTTTTTATCCGGAATAGTATTTTCCTCTCACAAATTCCTCCAGATTCATCCAAAATTCATTCAGATTCCTTCAAATTCCTCCAAGCGAACGGGGCCTATATTATTAAATCCAAATAAAGGCAACAATTGAAACACACCAATGACAACACTTTATCAGTAAAACATTATTTAAAAGATGTCAATCCTTGATTGAAGAGTATGGAAATACCTTCCTATATGTAGTTATCACAGTTGAATGTCTGCTGTCAATCTACAATTATAAACTGCGGTAGTACATGGAACAAGTGAGAATTATATTCCATTCAGAAAAAGTGAAATACTAGGCTCTGTATGCTCAACGTTTCATTTTGTCGGGCCATAAATAGTACACTCTGAGTCTAAAAAGCTCATGTAAATGTTGAAATAACACTTGGCTCTTTTAGAAATTGAATAATCACCTACAATGTCCACGTGCTTATAATGGAACATCCAAATCCTAGTTTTGATCCCTAACAAGTTTGAATGATTTTTTATTTAAGTAGCTTATCTCTTATACAATAAATTTAATTATGTAATGCCATAGCTATGCTGATGTTCAGAAACTATGTTCAGTAGAGGAACCTAAAATCGATGTCAGAATGCAAGGGAACTAAAGGGATCACAAGTTCACAACTAAGTATCCTATTATGAGTCCAACAGCTTGTCAATATATGACTAACAAGAAAGGCAAACAGGAGGGTTCTAGCATGTCAATACGAGACTACTAAGCATTATTTTTGTCTACTCTGAGAACTGGTCCAGATTGGCAAGAAAACAAGCAACTAACTCTCACGTCACTAAGGTACATGGTAATAACCTGCTCCTCTGAACTGCTATCTATGTATGACTAAAAAACATATCTTTCCAGCATTTAAATGTGTAATGTATTAATATAGATGTAAAATAAGCATTATAGAAAATAAATTTTTTGACTCGAATCCTAATGTATGAAATGAGTAATTTGATGACACATTTCAAAGAGTACTGTTATTTTTTCATTTAATATTCCTACATATCTTTGTAGATAATCTTTACCATATTGATCTTGCTATTGACCTCTTTGTTTAAGAAAACTAGCATTCTGTCAAGGAGTTATGGGAGTCATGCTGTAAGTGATGATAATTGTGAGGGATTTTAAAGCATTTAGTGTATATCTAAATGAGTTATCTGACCATATCATTGCACTTTTAATGAAGTTTTCAAAACTTCTGCACCAGTCGCCATGTCTACGATATACCTTGCATGAACTATTAGCCTTTCAATTTGCAAAAAAGAAATCTTTTTGGTATTAGGAAGAGGTTCCCAAGTTCTGGCTGTGTCGAACATAAGTGCAAGGTAACAAAACATTTTGCGTCTTGTGAATAATACTTATATGAATGACACTTTAGAAGCCTTATGGTCAAATATTAGAATATGTACCATGGATATATGTTGAAGCCTTTGCATTGACCACTTCAAATCTACAGAATTAGATTTATAAATTATAACTGAAGATACTTCCATAGCTTCTTATTTGCTACTATTTTCACTAATGTATAGAAATTAATTGTAAAACTTTGTCTTAGAGACTGCAAAATATCTGTAGTATAAAAAGGAATAATCTTTCACGTGACATAGTGAATCTCCTTAATCTGAAATTTTCATCACCTCTGTCTGACACATGGCATGTTGTCGACATATCCTGATGGCATATCGGGGATTGAGATTCTCTTGCCAGTGGCAAGTAAGGAAACGTCCTTGTAAAAGAACAGAGGGAATGCCATCTTTTGTTGAAATAGTGGTCCTGCTGCAGGTTATGAATTAATATGCACTAAGAATATTTAGTGTATGAGCCCAAAAGATTGCAATCAAGTATTTTTGGTGTCTTGATCCTTCTCCATTGAGTTGAAATTAAAAAACAGTAATACTTGGTTAGCTCTTCTTAAATTTATAAAAGTATGCTTATGAAGTAGAAACTAGGTGTTTCTAGTCGTTGTGTTGTTATGCCCCTCATCCGCCTACCACACTTAAAGTTTTACTACTGATGGAGGCATTAAAGTGCAAACCTTTAGTAGTTACTAAAGAGATGTAGCAAAAATCTCAAGAGCAGGTCAACATTTTAATTGTTCTTCTTTGTCTTCACTGTTAATTTCAACTATGCTTAGTGGTAATATTGAGAGGATTCAACTTTGGAGAATAAGAGTGTTTAGTTTGGAGAAAGTGGGATGGGACAGTCCCATCCCAATTTTTATGGATGAGATGATCTCGTCTCATGTTTGGTTGAGAGGGATGGGACCGTCCCTATCTTGTGCTTTGTTTGGGGACACTAAAAAGTGGGATCATGAAACCACCCGTTAGTCCCTCTCTCTTTGTTTTCTTCTTTCCTTTCTTCTTCCTGCAATTGCTCACGCCCGCACTCCAAGGCTCGCACGGCTGGTGGCTGCACTCTGCGGTGGTGGTGGCTAAGCCTGCTCGTCCACAGCTCTGCCCTTGCTATCAGAAGACGGAGCCCACCTTCCCTCCATCCTCGCCTTCGCATTGGCATCTGGCACCCACTCGTCTGCCCTCGCCTTGGCTCGCAATGCTTGCTTGACTGCTCAAAAACTGGTTCTATTCCTCAAGTGAAGCACAAATATAATGATTCTCCTGTTTGGTATGATTTACTCAAAGTTAAAGACATATATTTGTTAGTTGATCTCCACCAATAGGCCCATGCCTCTGCTCCTTGATCGGGGGAGCCCAACCCTAACTGGTTGGCGGGCCCCTGTCGCACAGCACATAAATAGAGGAGTGGGGACTGGGCTCAGTGAAAGAGGTTCATCGGAGCCGCCACCCACTCAACAGAGAAACCCTAAAACCGATCTAAAGTAGTGCTGGAAGCGCCGGGATGTGCCCCACCACCGCCGTCGCCCCTGCAGGTTCTCCGCCGGCGCCACTGGACTTCTCTCCACCGCTCTGGACGACTCCTACTACACCGACGGCATCGGTGTCTACCCACTTAGGTGGGTCAACAGGGAAGATGAGGATGCTTACCCGATCCTACGGTCACAGAAAGGTACACACCACAGCATCCTAACAATGGTACCAGAGCCAGGTTCACTTTGTGTAACCCTAACCCTAGATCGGGTACGGGAAAAGTGGACACGGTTTCAACAAAGAACCCTAGCAGTTCGTCAGCCTAGGGTGTAGATCTAGGGTTTTAGATTGAAAAACAAAGAAAATGCCCGATCCAGATCGGATCGGAACGGAACTCGAACCCTAACCCTACAAGAGAAAGAGGACGGTCATGAGGCTACCTACCTGGAGCCTGGCCGTCCTGTCACTGCCGTTGACCAAATCTATGGCCGACGAGAGAGAGACAGAGCTGCCGGGTTGGGTAGCCTGGCGCGCGCGAACAACAGGGCACCGTCGTGGGACTACTCGACGGCGGCGTGCTCCGCAACTGGGCGAGCATGCACGCCGGCGAGGAGCTCCACGGCGGCGCCATCTCGTCTTCCTCCTTCGGTCACCGTAGGTGGCCGCCGCTCGTCCGCCGCAGCGCGTGAGAGTAGGAAGAGGAGAAAGAGAAAGAAAGAGGCCAGGGGAGCCATGGGTGCGAACTCCACCCACCCC